CGACTATCCATGCACTCACCTTCCTTTGGATGAGTGAGATGTGTCACACTACTCTTTTCTTCTATCATGTAAAGCCGGACTGAAACTTGATGGAAAATCCAATCACAGCCTTTTTATAGGCTCCCATGCCTACCCAGGGCACTTTGCAGAGTGAAATGTCTTGGAATGCCTGCAGGGTCTACCATCCATCCCAGCTGCTCTGATTCGCTGGCTTTCGAAGCTAACGCTCAAGCTTTGTGTCCCTCCTGGAGGGTGGAAGACCATTTCCGAGGGTGGCTCCTCCACCTTTAATCAGGCATCATGGTCTCTCCTGGTGTTCGGAGAGAGGCCGGGGTGCTCGTCCCCAGGTGCAAACCTCCCGTCCCCAGTGGTGTCCTTTTGTCTCGAGGGCAACTGGCAACCCCAAGGAGGAGGAGGGAAAGGAGACGTAGATGGAACCTCCATGATCCGGGAATCAAGAACCGGGTCTTTACAACCGCCATCCAGGGACCCACCTCCCTGAGAAAGATCTCATCTTTGAAAATGTAAAACAACGCCTTCACTACCGAAGATCCCCGTGTGCTCCTTGGAGGCCAGCCCCTGTCTCAGCCTCAGCCTCTGGCCTCTGGCCCAACTCTCTCCACCGCGGCTGTTTGTTTATCTATTGTTTATTTTCAGTGGAAGCCTCTCTTTTCTGTTTTTCACCTGCATTTACCTGTTCAGGACATTGGTGCTGGTCCAGGTTTTGGTGATCGTGCATAAGGCCAGTCTAAATACCTTACCTAGGTTTTCATGGGGATGGGTTTCCATGTCTCTTGTTCACGCAATGCTATGCATCACTGCATCCTCACTAGCCTTGGCTTTGTCAATGGCATTGAAAATGCCATTTGAATAGATTTGTGTGCATTTTAATTTGCGTTTCCCTAATGACGAATGCATTTTTTCCGTGTGCTTATTTGCCATTCACATGGCTTCTCTCGTGAAGTGTTTAAATCTTTTGAACAATTTCTTTCATGGGGTTTTTGTTTTCTCATGATGGTATCTGGAGAATTCTTCATATGTTCTGGAGGCAAGTATTTTATGTTTTGCAATTATTTTCTCCCTGTGACTCCTTGCCTCATTTTCTTAAGAGTGTTTTTTGAGGAATGGAGGTTTTAAATCTTGATGAAATCCAATTTATCACCAATTTTTTTTATAACTCATGCTATCTTTTGGCTAGCATTTAATTTGCCTGTAATATCTTTTCCCATCCTTTTAGTTTAACACTTGCTTCTCTGTTGTAAACAGTATACATCCGGATGTTTCTCATATTCACCTTTGATGTTAGGATTTTAACTGGTGAGCTCACTCTCTTTGTGTCTACACAATTATTGATACACTGGTTTCTACCACCTTCATTTACTAATTTATATTGTTCAGCTCTTTCCTGTTTCTTTTCTTCCCTTCTTATCTTTCTTCTAGAACAGATATCTGTGTGTGACTCCATTAGACAAGACGTTTATCAGCCTCTCATGTCTCCTGGTCTCACCTCCTCCCAAATCCGTCATCGTCTCAATGGCATCTAGGCTGTTAACTCTGCGTTATTGTGGCTCTCTCTTCTTGTTTCCTTTGATGTTACCTATTTCTTTTTTTTAAAGATAACAGTAGCCCTGATCACGCTATTTGATTTTCTTTGCTCAATAGATCTCTTGCAACATTTTCCTTTTATCAGAGCTTTATCTAAATGGGCTCAAAGGTTTGGGGTGAGGTGTTCCTGAGAACACGCTTACGTTGCCCTTATCTTTAAACGGCTGTTCCCTTGGTTCTAAATGATTTTCTTTACCACTTTAAAATAGTAGTTTATTGTCAACTTGCGTTGGCTGTTGCTGTTGAATCCATCTGGTACAACATCTGACTGAGGTTTTGCAAATGACCTGGGACTTCTCAGGATGCCGGATATGGTCAGGATCCACCCTCCACCTGCCCGACTCCTCTGGCCCAACCCTACCCCTGGAGGATGTGGCCTGCTGTCTTTTTTTCTGGTCCTGCCCTGAGATGTGGATTCAGGGGAAGCACCACGTGGAAGGGGAGGGAATTGTGGTGGTGGGGGATGGCAGCAGGTGACATGTGGTTGGAGCATGTCCCACTGTGGGTAATGGAGGCTTTTACTGCCGAGGCCTTTCCAGAGTCAGTAGAACGTGCTTCCATGTCATCCCACCCAAGGGACTAGGGGGCTGGGCCATGACCTACGAGCTCCCAGTGATGGGTGGAACTGCCTGACATCCCATCCTGCACAGGGAACTATATTCACTATCTTATAATTACCTATAATGGAAGAGAATTTGGAAAAGAATATACATATGTGTCTACATATATGTATATATCTGAATCACTTTACTGTACACCTGAAAACTAACACAATATTGTAAATCAACTACACTACAATTAAAAAAAAAAGTAAAGAACCATTGCAGGAAGACGCAAAGATTTCCTCAGGCCCTGATGGGCACAACAGTGTCTCACATAGAGTTCCCTCCTGTGGAATTCTTCATAAAGCACCCAACACTTGTGTGCGAGTGTGGGCCCGTGTGTGTGTTCGAAGGACAAATACAAATTAAAATAAAGAGGCTTAATTCCCCTGTTGAAAATAAGGGGAGAGACCCCCCTTTTCCTCAGATCATTTGCTTAGAAGACGGGCAAGCACTCCTCCTGTCTTTGAAATGCATACAAGCACTTTTGAAGACTAGACAGGTCTCTTGTCAGCTCTGTGACCCAGGCGTGTCTTTCTCCAGGACCTGGGAGCCTCTTGTGGAGATGTGAGCACCAAGGGAGGTGGTGCCGGACCCCCCAGATCCTGGGAGCCCTGAGTTACAGGACTACCTCCTGCAGTGGAGGGAGAAGCCTGCTTTCTCCTGGACAAAGCCAGAGGGCAGATAGAGCCTCACCTGGTTACCAGGTGAGCCCAGAGGCGTGTGTGTGGTAAGTGTGCTGTGAGGTCCTTTTCCCTGGAGAGCCTGTGAGTGAGTGGGATCTGCTCGCCCAGGTCTGTCTGGAGCCCCCAGCAGGCTGCCTCTGTGGGCGTACCCTTCCCAGTAACCGCGGTTCTGTAGTAAAAGTGGTTTTCTTCTCAGCTACCTCTGTGGAGACGACTACGGGATGGGGAGAAGACATTGTTAATTATATTTCCCTGACAGGGGTTGTGTGTGTGAGTGAGAGTGTGTCGGGGGGATGGGGTGTGGGAGGGGGGAGGGGAAGGGGGAGGGGGGAGGGGGGAAAGGGGAGGTCTTCTAAGAAGCAGGGAATCTGGTCCACATGCCCCAGCTCTTTCCCAACTTGCTCTCAGGCCCTGGGGTAATTTGAAGACTCTCCAAGAGGAAGCAGGCAAATGTAAAGGCCCTTTTCTTCTTCTGAGAGCAGCGCTGAATCTGTGTCGGGGCACGCAAAGTGCATGGCAGGGATGGGTTCCTGCACCCATGGCCCCCGCCAGGTTGGAGTTGGAGGTGACAGGTGCCCTTGGAATCTGACTCAGCCCCATATTGTGGGTGAGGTGGACCCAGGTCCTTCAGAGATGGGAGGTGACTCTCCAGTGTCCCAAGCCTCAGGGTCCTGCGGACAGTCAGGACACAGCAGTCGTGAACCTTGAGGCTTCACAGTGGACAGGACAGTTCTTTCTGGAACCAGGGAGGAGGCTAGCTTCTCTTCTTCCTCTATCAGATGGCCCGTCCCAGTGCCCCAGGCGACACTCCATGGAACCCAGCTGCGCCATCAACCACAGACTGGGAGGGTGATGGTGGCCTGATGTCCAAGCAAGAGGCCTCCGGGGAGTCCCATCCAGGTGCTGCAGGTGTGGCGGAGCAGGGAACTGCTGGGACCCTCCACCCTGTGGACCCTCATCCCAACCCTCCAGGCAGAGCTGTCTACCCGCAGACACAGCATCTACCTACAATTCTGTGTAAGCTGGTATGTGTACATGTGTTATGTGTG